AAATTTAATAGGAATATAAGGTACTAGGCTTAAGTACAGAATGTTAGCAGTATTTCCAAGAGAGAACTGCTTTCTTCCTTCCTTCCTTTTTTTCCTTTTATTTGTTCTTTCTTTCCTATCTTTACTGGGAAATTGAGCCCTGGATTCTAGGCTAGCCTGGGCAACATAGCAAGACTGCCTCAAAAGAAAAAAAAAAATGTAGCCAGATGTGCTGGTGCATGCCTGTAATCCCAGCACTCAAGAGGCTGAGGCAGGTGAATTGCTATGGGTTTGAGGCTAGCCTGGGCTACATAGCCAATGAAATATGTATCTAGTGATACAGAATTCATGTACCTGGTTGTGACGTCATCACTATCCAAGCTACATTTGTGTTTTGAAGAGATGATGATTGCAGATTTGAGAATGGACTAGAGGAGTGAAAAGTTGCTGGGATTCTTCATGGGAAGCCACATACAAAATAGAGTGCTGAAATTTTCTTTGTGTTCTGTAGATTGTTAACTGCCAAGGTACCACAGGGGCAAACAGAGTGTGCTGGTATCTGAGGAGAGGCTTCCTCTTTTCTGTGTCACTTCAGCGCCCTCTACAGGAGGAAATGAAAAATGGCCATTGCGCAGACAGCCAACCCTGTCAGCTGTGTGGGAGGCTCCCTCAGGACCCACAGAAATGATGTTTGTGATCCTGTTTTGGTGACCAAACACTACGCTTAACCTAATTTTGACACTAGTTATTTGATCTTAGAGAAAGCCCCATAGACTTCTTGATTTGGTAAAATAAGGGTACTTGGTATGAATTCAATGAGTTTGTTAAAAGTTGATTCTAGGAAGCATTATTTTTATGTTTTTTTTTTGAGACAGGGTCTCATGTGGCCCAGGCTAGGCTTGAATTCATGGGAATCTTCTTGCTTCAGCCTCCCAAATTCTAGGATTATAGGCATGCATCACCATACCTGGCCTCTAGGAACTTTTAATAGCAAATATAAAGCAATGTGAGCCTCAAAGCAAATTATAATAGACACAAGTTAAATTAAACCTAATGAAACCAGGTGTGGTGCTGCGCACCTGTAATCCCAGCATTCAAGAGGCTGAGGCAGGAGGATCACCAGTTCGAGGCCAGCCTGAACTACAAAGTGAGACCTTGTTTCAAAACAAACAACCAATCAATCATTCCCCAGTGCCAGGGCAGGAAAAATCCCTTCTGGAAATGTTCTGAGGTTTTAGTGAGGAAGAAAAGAATTAGAGATTGGCAAGATGTTGGAAACTAGCGATTTAAGAGTTGTCAGTAAGAGTATTTATTACAAGCTTGAACACGTGGTGTGACAAAAATGGGGCACATAAATGCTTATATATGTGTAGCTATCTCCAGAAGGGTGAGAATAATACTGTTCCTTGTGTGGAGAATTGGGAGGAATAGGATGGAAAAGGGAGAGTTTTCACTGAGTACCTTTCCTACCTGTGTAGATGCTACCTATCCAAATATACGATTTTCTTAAGATACTAATGAGCTGGGAGCAGTGGTCCACATCTGTACAGTAAGTCCCCAACTTCCAAACAAGTTCTGTTCAGGGAGAATTTTTCATAAGTCAGATGTGTTCATAAGCCAACAAAGGGAATCTTACACAGTACCCCTGTCAAAGTTCACAACTTGAATGTTCCTAAGTCAGGGACTTGCTGTGATCTCAAAATAGGAGACAGAGACAAGAGGATTGCAAGTTCAATACCATCCTGGGCATTTATCAAAACTATTTATGAGTGAACAAATACATAAAAAGGACTTGAGTATGTAGTTCAGTTGAGGCCCTGGGTTCAGTCCTCAGTACCTCTCTCACAAAGATACTAATGTTGATTTAAGTGCAAGAAATAATGTTCCTCCTTCAGGGTTATCTAATGTGCCTTTGAGTGAAAATTGAAATTTTTTATACCTACATTTTAATTTACACATATTAGGGACTTTGCTTCTATACAAATTGTTTTATTTGGAAAACAGTATTATCAAAAAAAAAAAGGAAAAGTGCTTCTTTTTTTTTTAATTTTATTGAGTTTATTGGTACATTTTAGGGATACAGTACAGTTACATTCATTGTTGGGATCATGTACCTTTACATGGGAAGTCTTGATTCTCATTTTTTCCCCTTACCTCTGCCCTCCCTTCACCCCCTCCTCCCCTCCCCATCTACAAACACTTTATTTTCATCTTTTCATTCTCTCACATTTTTTTCTTTTCCCTTTTAGGAAAAGTGCTTCTTAAAAAGTTTTTGAACATCATTTATGAACTCTATGAACTCTGTATAATTGCTACCTTAATATTCTTAACAGTCTCCATGTTCATTTTTATTTTATTGATTGGGCAGGCAGCTTTGTTTTGCTGGTCTTTGTAAGTCTGTGTGGATTGTAATTGGCTTTTAGTGGTCACATTCGCTGGCTTCTCTGACAATTGAATTTTCTCTTTGAAGAGCCCTAATGACAGTGAATTTGGCTATTTTAGGGTAGAGTGATTGATTTGAATTTTTCTTCTGTTGGACTTTGAGCATGTTTGAATTGGCTGGTATTTCTGATGGAGCCAATGGGGAAGTTTAAGGAAAGAAAAAGACAAAGAGCTTCCTTTCATTCACAAAAGAATTTGAGACCATCCTAGACTGCATAGCAGAGCAAGACATCTCAAAAACTTTAAAAAAAATAATCTTGGTTAATTTTGGCTCTTTGTCCTCATACATTTTAGAATAACTTTGTGAAATTCTACAAAAGTTCTTCTGGGGTTTTGGTTGGAATGACATTGACTTTGACTTTACAGTTACTTGGGGAAGAATTAACACCTTTATAATATTTAAAGTCTTCCTCTGTTAATGGGCTTGTTTTAATTTTAAAGGATAGTATTTTATTGACTATGTTTCATTCACAGATTCACAATTATTTAAATAATCTTTTTAATGTGTTAGAATCTATTTCTATAATCTCTCAATTGAGGGTTTATATCACTTTTGTTGAATTTATTTCTAAGTACCTTAGTCTGGTTCATTGCTTAAAAATTTACATTTTCTATGTTTTATAATTATATAGATAAACAGTTGACTTCTATATATTGGGTTTGTACTTAATAATCTTGCTAAACTTCCCTAATTTTTTTCTAGTTTTCCACGTACAAATGAAATTAGGTGAAATCAGGTGTGGTGGTACACACATAATCCCAGCTACTGGGGCAATTAAATAGGAGTATTGAAAGTTTGAGACCAGCCTGGGCAATTTAGTGAGACCCTGTCTTAAAATTGAGTTTAAATAAGGGTTGCCCCGGGCCAGGGATTTAGCTAAGTGAAACCATGTCTACCTGGCAAACGTGAGGTCTTGAGTTCAATTCCTGATACCGGGAAAAAAATAAATTTAAAAAATTTTAATTTTAAAAAAGGGCTGGAGATATAGCTTAGTGGTTGAGTACTTGCCTAGCATGGAGACAGCCTTGGATCCAATCCCTAGTATCCCCCTTCTAAAGAAAGGAAAGAAAACTGCAAGTAATAATAGCTTCGTTTCTTCCTTTACAGTTCATCTATCTTATTTTTTGTCATCTTACTGTTGGAAATATCTCTGGCCTAATATTGGAAGAGAAATGATGATAAAAGGTGTAGTTTTTTTATTTTCTCTTTCTATCTATCTATCTATCTATCTATCTATCTATTTGTACCAGGGATTGAACTCGGGTCCTTGCGCTTGCAAGGCAGGCCACTGAACCGCTGAGCTAAATCCCAGGCCCCTATTCCTTTTATTTTAAGGGGAATACTTTTAACACTTTAAGTTAAAGGAGGTGTTTGCTGTAGAATTGTATTTGTGTGTGTGTGTGTGTGTGTGTGTGTGTTGCTGGGAACTCAAACATGATAGGCAAGCATTCTCCCACTGATTTATGCCCCCAGCTCCTGCTACAGATTTCCAGTGTACCCTCTTCATTAGGTTAAGGTGGTTTCCTGCTAGATGTGGTGGCGCATGTCTGTAATCCTAGCACTCTGGAGGCTGAGGCAGGAGGATCATGTGAGTTCAAGGCCAGCCTGAACTATAAAATGAGAATTTATCTCAATGCACTCTCCCTAAAGTTTCCTTTTATTCTTTGTTTGCTTAGATATTTTTAATCATGAATTAATTTTTAATATTTTGAAATGCAAAATCTAAGAATAAAAATTCCAATAGTCTCCTTCTAGATAGCTTTCTGAAAGAGTTAAAGACATCATATTATTGGGATACACATGTACCTATGTTATTCCAGCAGTTTATAATAGCTAAATCTTGGAAGTTGTCCACATGTCAATAAATGGATAAAGAAAGTGGTATTTATACACAATGGTAGACTACTGTGTTATAAAGAAGGGTAAACTTAAGTCATTTGTAGGAAAATGGATGTATCTTGAGACCATAATGTTAAATTAAATAAATAAGACAAATAAATATCTCTCTCCCTCCCCCACCTTTCTTTTTTCTTTCTTCTTTGTTTTTGTTTTCTGCGACAAGCTTTCACTATGTAGCCCAGGCTGGCCTCAAACTTCTTTCTTCTTTGTTTTTGTTTTCTGCGACAAGCTTTCACTATGTAGCCCAGGCTGGCCTCAAAATCAGTGATCCTTGTGCCTCAGCTTCCCAAGTGGTAGGATTACATGCGTGCACCACCAGACCTGGCAAATAGCACATATTATCTTAAATGAGAAGCCCAAAATGTAAAGAGCAAAATAAAAGATAGATAATAGGAAATAGATCTTTTGAAAAAGAGAAGGAGAACAAGAAATGGAGGGAGAGGGAAAGGAAGAAGAGAGGGGAAGGGGATAAAAAAAGAACTAAGATGTATGTTGTGCCAGCTCCCTGTGAGGAATGTGATCGTTATGTACTGTGAACGTGCACTGTGCCAAAACAAAAAGATTGAAAAATACTCTCGAATGCTTTTCTGCATCTATGGAAATTAACATGCGATTTTCTTGTTTAGTCTGTTGTAATGCTGTTAGTTTGGAAGTAATGCTTTCTGCTCCTGCTCCCCAGGTGATCTGTGGAGCTATGATTTCTTCAGTGGTGAGTTTGTGGTGTCACCGGAGCCAGACACGAGTGTCCACACTCTTGATCCCCAGAAGCACAAGTATATTATCCTGGGGAGTGATGGGCTTTGGAATATGATCCCACCTCAAGATGCTGTTTCAATGTGCCAGGACCAAGAGGAGAAAAAATACTTGACGGTGAGCAGTGACTCAGTCATCTTTGTTTTTTTAATATTGGGCTTGAAAACCCAAGGGTGCTTTACCACTGGGCTATATTCCCAGCCCCTTTACATTCCTTCCCTCTCCTCCTTTCCTCTTCCCTCTTCTTCCCTTCTCTGTCGTACTAGGGATTGAACTTAGGGGTACTCTTATCACAGAGCTATAACTTCAGCCCTATTTAGTTCCTGTTATTTTGAGATAGGGTCTCACTAAGTTGCTAAGGCTTGCTGCAAACTTTAAATCCTCCTGCCTTAACCTCTCATGTAGCTGAGATTTAAGGCATATGTTATCACTTCTTTTATCAGTACTAATCTGAATGTTTGTGTAGCATCTAATAGAAAAGTGATTGTGGCCATTGGTCTCTCCTATCCTTTTCTTTTTTTTGGTGCCCTCCCACCTCTTCTTTTTTTCTGTACTGAGGATGGAACCCAGGACCTTTGCCTTGAGCTGTGTCACCAGGTCTTTTATTTTGAGACATCTTCCTAAGTCTCTCAGTCTCCCAGGTGGCCTGGATGTTGTTGTGACCCTCCTGCCTCAGCCACCCAAGTAGCTGAGATTGTAGGTGAATGTCACAATGCCCAGCATCAGAAGTTATCATATTAGGAAAATTTGGTCCTTTGCAGTGAATTTCTAAACATTCCTGATAGTCTTATTTGTGAGTTACATTCATTCCTTCATTCTTTCATTCATCTTTCCTCATACTGGAGATTGGACCTAGGGCATCTGCACTGAGCTATACTCCAACCTTCCCCCAGCGTTTTGTTGTTTCGGTTTTGGAGAAGGGCTTCCCAGGCTGGGCTCAAACTTGTTTTTGTGACTCCGGAGTGCTGGGAGTGCTGGGATTACAGGCATTTACTAACATGCCTGGGATTATAAAGTAACAGTGAATACTAAGTTTCTTGGTTAAAAAGATAAAGATGCATGAGTGAAATTTAACCGTAAGCCCTTGTGAATTAATGTCCTCCTGTCTTTAAAATATAGAGTGAACATGGCCAGTCTTGTGCCAAAATGCTTGTGAATCGAGCGCTAGGCCGCTGGAGGCAGCGTATGCTTCGAGCAGATAACACCAGTGCTATAGTAATCTGCATCTCACCAGGAGTGGACAACCAGGGAGACTTCACCAGCGAAGATGAGCTCTATCTGAACCTGACTGACAGCCCTTCCTACGATAGTCAGGAAACCTGTGTAACAAATCCTTCCCCGTGTTCTACACCACCCGTCAAGGTATGTGGGCCTTCCCTTTTTAAGTTATGTTTAACAGTCAGAATTTCTTTGGTTGATTGCTGAAAAATAATTTTTAGATTCTTTTTTCTTAAGACAGGATTTTGGCTTTGAACTAAATTCAAGAAAGTAGTGGATCTTCTTATGTAACTTTGTCAGAGAGCCTTCTTTATGTCAGTACTAATCTGAATGTATGTGTCGCATCTAATAGAAAAGTGATTGTGGCCTTTGAGTAATATTAATGTTTGGAATTTAACAATTCCCCACTGATGCTATAGACATTTATAAAGCATTTAGAAGTTGGTGAAGCACTTTAATTTGTAATATTGCATTTGAACCTCTTAACTCTAATAGTAGTGATACTATGATTCCTTGTTTATGACCATTAGAACCGAGAGATTAAACAGTCTGAACAAGGTCGTACAGAATCAAGATTGGATGGGCTCTATGATATCATAGACTTCAGATCTACTTGTTAATGTGAATGATTTTAAGATAGGCGGAAAAGCAAATTTAAATGGGTACCACATTTTCCATTTTCTGATTTTTTTTAAGAACTCAAAATGTTTTTATTTTCATTTATATTTTTTCCTACCACAAATCAATAATGATGATAACTACATGCTTTTTTGTTTGTTTGCTTGTTTGTTTTTTGAGACAGGTTCTCACTATGTAGCTCAGGCTGGCCTTAACTGGTGATCTTCCTGCTTCAGCCTCCTAAGTGCTGAAATTACAGGCATGAGCTACCATGCCTGGCTGAAGCAGTTCTGGAAGTCCTCTTTTATGTCTTCAGTTGTGCATAGTGTGGCTACTTCAGTGTCCTGAATTGATTCAAAATGTTTACTTTTCTTGGTCATTTGCCTTCAGGGAAGGGTCAGAATTCGCAAGGTGCCAGATATAGGGAGTAAGGTGAATGAAGACATACCATAATGCTTTTTTTACAGTCCTACCTTTCCATTGGATGGCATCAGGCAGCACCGTTCACTGCATTCATTTTTTATCATACCTTATAAAGACACCCATGAAAGAGAATTTTAAGAACTATTTTAGAAAGTGGCAAGTAGCCGAACATAGTGGTGCATGTGTGTAATCGCAGTCCTTGAGAGGCTGAGGCAGGAGAATTGCCACGAGTTGAAGGCCAGCCTGGGCCACATAGTCAGACCCTATCTCCAAAAACCAAAAAAACCAACGAAAAAGAAGGTTGCAAGAGTGATGAGATAAGCATGTTTGAAATGGGGTAGGGAAGAGGGTATTTGTGTCTTTTACTATAATAAGTTTTTTAAAATTTAAACACACCACTTTTTTTTGTTGTTTTGTTTTTTTTGAGACAGGGCCCCACTATGTAGTTGAGACTGACCTGGAACTCACTATGTAGTCCAGCCTGGTCTTGAACTCACTGTGATCCTCCTGCCTCAGCCTCCCAAGTGCTGGGATTACAGGTGTGCGCTACCACACCTGACCACGCACCACACTTTTTTATCTGCTCTTGTATCTTTACTTTTGGTTACCTACCAGTAGAATGGATAGCTTATTTTATCTCATTCATTATACTGAATGCAGGATTCAGTATCTGTTACCTTTATATTATGTTCCGCTCACCCAGGTTACCCCAATAGATCCTTTCAAATAGTTCAGGAAATATATAGTGAACAAATGAGTGAATGCATGTCATGTTTTTGACATCCTTGTGCCTTCTTAGGGAGCTCAGAATAATTTGTTTTACTTCTTTCTTGTTTTTTAGACACTGGAAGAGGATCCGTGGCCCAGGCTGAACTCTAAAGACCACATACCTACCCTCGTTCGCAGTAATGCCTTCCCAGATAATTTTTTAGAGATCCCAACTGAGGTAACTCGAGGGAGTGTCCAGGCTGTAGTCTTATCCTCAAAAGATCCAGAGCCACTTGAAGAAAACTGCACGAAAGCCCTAACTTTAAGGATACATGATTCTTTGAACAATACCCTGTCAGTTGGCCTTGTGCCGACAAATTCAACAAATACTGTGTTGGACCAAAAAAATGTAAAGATGTCCACTCCTGGTCAAATGAAGGCCCAAGAAGTTGAAAGAACCCCCCCAGCAAGCTTTAAAAGGACATTAGAAGAATCCAACTCTGGCCCGCTTATGAAGAAGCATAGACGAAATGGTTTAAGTCGAAGTAGCAGTGCTCAGCCTGCAAGCCTCCCCACAACCTCCCAGCGGAAGAACTCTGTGAAACTTACCATGCGACGCAGACTTAGGGGCCAGAAGAAAATTGGCAATCCTTTACTACATCAGCACAGGAAAACTGTTTGTGTTTGCTGAAATGTATCTGGAAGTGAAGTTTTTCCATTTTAGAATTTGAGGGCTTTTAAAATTTGGTGCCATTGCCGGGCGTGGTGGTGCACGCCTGTAATCCTAGTACTTGGGAGGCTGAGGCAGGAGGATTGCTGTAAGTTTGAGGCCAGCCTGAACTGCATTGCGAGACCCTGTCTCAAAAAAAAAGCAAAACAACAAAAATAAAATAAAAAATAAATAAAATTGGTGCCGAGTTGAACTTTTTTTAAGGGGACAAAATAAAGAATATACAATTTGATCTTTTGGAATTTAACAGTTTTATTCTGGCCTTGTACTTGCTTGTATGATAAATGTGAATTTTGTAGATGTTAGGGTATAAGTTGCTGTAAAATGTGTGTAAATTTGTATCTTTCACACAGTTCAGTCTCATACTCTACAATAATTGTGACAACAGGGCTAAATGTTTAAAAAAATCAAAAGAATATTAGATTTTAGAAATACATTTAAACTTTCTAAAATGCTTATTAACATTTTTTGTATGTCACACATGAAAACAACACATCTTTTTAAAGTAAATTATTAAGCAGACTGGAAAAGTGATGTATTTTCATAGTGACCTGTGTCCAACGTAATGTTTCCTAGAGACTCCTAGGGTCTTTTAAAGATTATATTTTATTTCTAATTTCATAATTCAGAGCTAAAATTTTCATAGAAGTGTTGAACCATGCTAAAGTAGTCGGATGTTAGTCTCTGTGTTCCAATTAAAATACTATGCAGTATCTCTTACTTTAGTAGCTGTTCTCTAAAACATCAGCCAGATACACTCATTGAATCTTTGGCATAGAAGGTGTGTTTGCCCTTCTCAGTCATCCCAGACAAGTGGCATTATTAGGTTGTAAAGTAGTAACCTTCTTCTAGTGTTTGCTTAAAATACGTGAAGTTTTTCTTGCTATTTCAATAACAGATGGTGCTGCTAATTCCCAACATTTCTTAAATTATTTTATATTGTATGGTTTTCATCCATTATATGAGTATGTCTGTTCATCTAATAAATCAGTGGACAATTCTTCATGTTGCTGGACTTTTGGCGGTGGTTTATTTTTTTTGTGTGTGGTATTGGGGATAGAACTCAAGACCTTGTGCTTTTGAGGCAGGCGGTGGAAACACTGAGCTAAATTCCTGGCCTGGTGGTGGTTTATTTTAACAGTATATAGTATATTGTGCTAGGAACATGCTTTAGAGTAATAAAATACATAACATTGTTGCACTCGGAATTTTTAATTTAAATATAGAATACATAATCTAAATATCCAAGAATATGATTAAATCAGTTGTGATTCATAGGTATTTGATAAAATAGTAATTAAAAATGAATGAAATTGTAATCCCAGCACTTTGAGAGGCTGAGGCAGGAAGATTACCATGAGTTTGAAGCCAGCCTGGGCCATGTAGTGTTTAAGGCCAGCCTGAACTTACTACACCGTGAGACCTTGTCTCAAAACAAAAAACTCCAAATAAAATATACTTTGATAGTGTAACATACAAAATACTCTGGCCTTCTCTCTCTCTCTTTTTTTTTTTTTTTCCAGGGGGTGGGTTGGTAATGGGAATTGAACCAAGGGCCTTCATACATCCCCAATCCTTTTTTAAGTTACTATTTTGATTTTGAGACAAGGTCTTCCTAAGTAGTTAAATTGCCCGGGTTGTAGAAAGAAAATTTTTTTCTCATAGAATACAATTTTTTTTCTTACTGAATTTATTGGTACTTTTTAAGTGTACAGTACAGTTACATTCAACATTGGGATCTTGTACCTCTAAATGACATCTTGGTTCCCATTTTTTCCCCCATACCCCTACCCTCCCTTCACCCCCTCCACCCTATAATGAGTAATTTTTTCATTTATTTCAAACATGAAATCTCACTGAGAGACTAAAGAATTCATACATGTACCAGCTCCCCAAGATGCATGTATTTGGGTACTACAAATGTACTAAAAATAACATTTTCAAAAAACCTGAAGAGGTCCGTTAATTTGTCATTGGGTATGGTGGCAAATATCTGTAATCCCAGCTACTTGGGAAGCTGAGCAGGAGTTGCAAGTTTGATCTCATCCAGGACAACAAAGCGGTAACTTTTCTAACAACTACAACAATAAAAAACCAAGCCAATGGACAATTCATACCTGCAGATGGGCAAAAGCTGCATATTCACTCCCAACTTTGTGCTTACTGATTCCATGCCCTGCCTGTGGCCACCCAACTGGGCCCACTCTTCTTCCCCTTGGCACAGGGCAGCAGAGGGCAGCCAGCTGACCTACCCGGTCCCGGGTGAAGCCAGTGTCCTGGAGAGAGTGTTCCCCAAAGGGTTGGCACCTACAGGGAGAAATAACAGGTCAGGCATATAGCGCTAGCCCCGAGAAAAGCCAAAAGCTATTGTAAACTACAAGAATAATGGGATTTTACTCCAAATATGACTCCTCCATAGAAGGGTAGAGTTGGAGCCATTTTGGGAAGAGATGACTTGTTTAAGGCTGAACCACAGAACAATTCAGGGTCTCTGTGTTAACCTACCAGCGTGATTAGATGAGACAGCCACAGAGAAGGTGGGGGCTAGATAATAGGGCCCCAGAGAAGTCCCAGTTCCGGCCCGGAAGGACATGGGACCCTGCTGTGCATGTGAGAACCCTGGACCAGCAAGTGTGGTTTTCAGAAGCGACTTGGATCTGAAAGTGCTAGTGTTAAGTCCAGTCCTCGTGTTAAACACCAGCCCGGCTGCCTGCATCCAGTAAAGGCTTGTGGTTCTTTAATTCTGTATAATAAAATCTATTTACAGCTCTCACTGACACATCTTGAAATTCTTTTTCTGTGGGCAGAGTCAAGAATCCACTCTGGGCTGAGGTGATGTCCCCATCTGCACTTTGTAGGAACTCCTCAGATCCTGTCCAGTGACACTGAACACCTGCAAGTTACTTCCATTAAATATTACACCCAAAATATAGATAATTGCTTTCAAAAAACATATTACACCCAGGTTTGGTGGCATGTGCAGGACAGCAAATTTGAGGCCAGCCTTGGCTACACAGTGAGTTCAAGGCCAGCCTGGACTACATAGCCAGACCTTGTCTCAAAAAAACAAAAAACAAGGTGAGTGTTGTAGCTCATGCAGTAATCCCAACACTCTGGGCAGGGCTGGGGATTTAGCTCAGTGGTTCCAGCGCCTGCCTTGCAAGTGGCAAGGGGCCGAGTTCGATCCCCAGTACCAAAAAAAACAAAACAAAACAAAAAACCAACACTCTGGGCAGCCGAGGCAGGAGAATCACAAGTTTGAGCCTCATCTTGATAATTCAACAACTTAAAGAGACCCTGACTCAAAAAAAATAAAGAGCTGGGGATATAGTTTGGTTGGAAGACCCTGCATTTAATCTCTAGTACCAAAAAACAAACACCCCTCCCCCAAATCCAAACCAACAACCACAGGTTTGTCTTTATTTGAAATGTTGTGGGAGAACTTCAATATGTCTCTGTGAAAAAGGAAATCTAGTGACTACAACCGGTTGGTAAAACCGGGCGTGCTAGTGCACACCTGTAATTGCAACATTCTGGGAGGCTGAGGCCAGAGAATCACAAATTCGATCCCAGTTTGGGCGATTTAGGGATAAAGGTAAATTTCACAAGGGCTGGTGATACAGTTCAGTGTGTGAAGGTCCTGGTTCAATCCTCAATACTCAAAGCCAAAAACAAAACAAAACAAAAGTGGTTGACAGCTTTACTGAGTGTGGCCTATTTTACCTACTTTGCATTATGCCACTCATTGATTTTTTTTTTTTTTCTGGTACCAGCAATCCAACTTGGGTCCTTGCACTTGCAAGGCAGGTGGCGGAACCACTGAACTAAATCCCCAGCCCAGCCACTCAATGAATTTTTCAAAAGAGAGTTCATGTATAAAGTGGCAGTATGAGACCCAAGTCTCAAACAAGCCTCCCTGAAGACAGGGTTTAGGGTCATTTATGAGATCAAAAAAGAAAACCAGGGTGATCTGAGGTCTAGTAAAAGATGATTAGAAGTAACGAGTGGCCTGAACATGTGTAATCAGGCATCGTGGCTCTTTGTAAAATACATTCAAGCCAGACAGGATGGTGAATGCCTGTAATCCTAGCGAGGAGGAGCTCAACCTCAAGCCAGTCTTGGGAATTTAACACCCAGTGACAACCTGTCGCAAAATAATATACAAGAAAAGGGCTGGGGCGTGTAGCTTAGTGTGAAGGCCCTGGAGTTTAGTTGCCAGTATTGAAAAAAAAAATACATGTTCTTAAATCAAATGCACCCGCATGCTACGAGGATGGAGTCTTTGGCCCTGTGATGTCACATAGTCACCCACTGGACACTTGTGTAGGTCCTAGTGAAGAGTCACTCGGTGGTTTCAACTTATGTGAGCTACCTCCAAGTTCCTGAAAAACAACTTAGATAATTGTTACCACTGTGACCATTACAGGCAAGGTGTTACCTGTCGCAAAACTAATTGGAGCATACTGCTTAGCTACCTGACCTCCATAGTGAGTGATTAAAACAAGTCAACCCACTGGCGATGGTGGCACTACCTGTAATCCCAGCTCTCTGTGAGGCCGAGGCAGGAGGATTGCAATTTGAGTCTGCCTGAGTAATTTAGGGAGATCTTGCCTCAGAATTAAATAAAGTATGTCTGGGGATGTAGCAAAGGTATTGAAATTTCTTTTCTTTTCTTTCTTGGTTTTCTGAGATAGGGTCTCACTGTGTAATCCAGGCTGGCTTTAAACTTGCTATGTAGCCCAAGATGGCCTGCAGCTTGCTATGCCTTCGCTTCTTGAGTGCTGAGACTATGAGCATGCACCAGCACACCTGGCTAATAAATGATTTTAAAAAGTCAATAAAAGCCAGATGTGATGTCACATGTTTTAAGTTCCAACACTAGGGAGGTCTTGGCAGGAGGAGTGTAGCAAGTTTAAGGCAAGCCTGGGCTAGTGAGTTCCAGGGCGGCAAAAGCTACATAATAACTCTCAAAAAACAAACAACAACAAAAAAGGTAAATTATTATTTTAAAAATAGCACCACTCAGCTGATCAAGCCCCAAAGAGAAGAATTACCCTTTATTCTTTCCCTCCATCCCACTCTCAACAGCTATCACATTCTTTCAGTATGTCTTAAAATGTATATTCTGAAATTATATACGTATCTATATCCTGAAATCAATATTTTTCATCATTTGTTTTCTTTTTGAGATAGGGTCTTGCTATGTGTTCCAGGTTGTGGCCTTCAACTCACTATGTAGCCCAGGTTGGCCTTGAATTTGTGGCAATCCTCTTGCATCAGCCTCTTGAGAGCTGGGATAATAGACTTTTGTGCGCCACCTCACCTGGCTACTTTTCATCATTTTAATGCTTCAATTCTATGTTCAGTTCTAGATCTCATCACTGGGCTAAGGAAACGTCTCCCATTTGACCCAGTGCTTCCATTTGTCACTTCCTTCACGACAGCGTATGCTCCCTAGACAGGAAAAAATCTTTTAAATGTAAATATCGGAGAAATAGCTGAGTGACAGAGTGCTTGCTTAGTACGTGTGAAGCTCTGGGTTCAACCCCCGGTGGATCCCCCCCACCCAGAAAAGGTAAAGATTATTGTGACACTTGGAGTTGAAATTCTTCCAAGTAGGTTCCCCCCTCTAGAATTAACATAAAATTCTTCATAATTTTATGGAAGACATATTTTACCTCTCCAAACCAGTTTCCTTTACTTAAGCAGTCTTGGTTTGTTTTTCTGTAAGCCTCATTCCCTGAGCTGGTGCACTACTATAATCTCAGTCCCTTGGGAGGCTAAGGCACGAGGGTGGAAAACTGAAGCTCAGTCTGGGCAATTCAGCAGTTGAACAAGAGCCTGGTTCAAAATAAAAATGAACAAAGGTCTCGGGATGTAGCTCAGTGCAAAAGCCCTGGGTTCAGTCTACAGTACCGCAAAAAACAAAAACCAAAATCATATTTGAGACAACAAATTAGTCAGTGATGGACAGCAACACAAGTCGAAGGAATTTAGAATACTGAAAAGATTCCTTTTTCAGTGAGTTTAATGTAGGAAGCACAATTTTTACTCTGGTGGTGCTGGTTATTCAAACCAGGGCTTATGCATGGTAAAGATGCACTCTGCCACCAACTCTGACAGGAAAAATGGAACTTTTTATTGTTTTGTTTTGTTCTTTCTTTTTTTGGTACCTGGGCTCGACCTTGTGCTTGAGAGGCAGGCTCTGGAACCACTGAGCTAAATCCCTGCCCAAAACGGAACCTTTTTCCTTTTTAATATTTTATTTGTTTGTTTGTTTATTTATTTATTTTTGTGTACTGGGGCCATCCCAGTAATTATTTTTCCATTTTTGGCCCCTTTTATTTTATTTTTAAAAAATTTTGAAACAGGATCTTCCTAAATTTCCCAGGCTGGTCTCGAATTTGCAACCCTTCTGCCTCAGCCTCAATAGTAGTTAGGATTAAAGACACACACCACCAAAGTTCCATATCTTTTGTAAGCTAAAATTCAAACGTTAGTCTGATAAATTTTTTTTTGGTCTGATAAATTCTGACTATTCTGTTTATTGGCACTGATGGAGTGCCTAAAGCGAAATGGTGATTTTTTTTGACAAGTTATTTGTAAAGCAAAGGGGTGTTTGGTCACTTGTCCGTGTACTCTCTTAATCTCTGTAATACTTCTACATATAGCTCCACCCCGAGGGCGTATTTTCGGGGAGGTATTTTTTTCTACTAAACGTCCCTCTTCCTGTGTGCTAAGACCTTATGAATACTAAACGTCCCTCTTCCTGTGTGCTAAGACCTTATGAATACTGCTGTATCAGCCAATTCTTTACAAAAGCCATTACTATTAATAAGCTATTTCTTCGTGGAATTATCGATAGCCTTACATTCGCTAATACATATGGGGTACTAACGTGAAAGAAAGACCGCTGATCGTTCAATAAATCAGTACTACAAATGTAACTGAGGAAATGACAATGGTGAGATCTCGATTAAGACAAGGGAGGTGGAAAACTGAGGTAAGGAGTCAGGCGTGGTTCTACAAAGGAGCTCAACTGACCAGACCACCGCCGCGCCTCTTAGGTCACCACCGGCTCTGCGCTGGTCTGACCACAGCGGCTGGCCCGCGAGGCTCCGGAAGGTAAACACGAGGGAGGGCGTGGCAGAAGGCGGGCTCGAGATGCGCGAGTGGCCAGCTCCAAGTGATTGGCAGCTGCCACGTCCACGTGCTTTGAGCTTCGAACCAGCTGTCGCGAGAATTCGATGTAAACAGACCAAGTCTCCCTGTCCTCTGGTCCCAGTCTGAGACACTTGGGTGAGGAGCTCGGGGCGTGTTGCTTTTGTTAAACAAAACAAAACAAACCAGCCACGGAGGTTTTGTCTGCACATAAAATAGACCTATTTGTAATTCGTCTCCATTTGCCTGCGTTCGCAACCGAACCTGACACATCGGCTTCACCCGAATTTACATACTGTTGTGGTTTCCCTCCAGCCCCAGCGGATTGGGTAAATCTAGGAGGCGGGTCGGCCTCTTTTCTACTTGCTGGTTGGTGAAGATGACCTCCAAGGGCGGTGCCCGGACCCGGCCAGTTCGCTTTTGGGATTGGCCAGCGGGGTGGTTCCGCTGAGGCGTGGTAGGAAGTGGTAGCCGTCAATCACGAGGAAGACTCCAAACAGTGAGCCTTGAGCTGGAGAACAGCGTTTACCGGCGGCTGGCCGGTGAGAGGGCTGGCTGGTCTTTGGCTTTGGGGAGCCTTAGAAGAGGCGAGGGACAGGCAGCGAGAGGGTACAGGGCTTGGCTGGCAGTAGTTCGACGGGGTAGAGGTGTCGAGACTGGGAGGGGGGAGGGGAGAAGGGCAAGGGGCCAGAGGGCGGCCGGGGGCAGAGGTGGCTCCGCTTTGGAGACTGAGTGGGCAGCGCTGTGGCAGCGTCTTTTGGGGAAGCGTGGCTTGAGGAGCTGCTGAGGGTCGTCCTCAGGTGACAGAGCCCTTAAAGGACAGGGCTCCGTAGACTGGTTTGGGAGAGAAAGGGGGGAATGGAAATGAGAGGGCTTGGGGGGCCGGAGGTGAAGTGTACCTCTTAAGGAAGGGGTAGCTGGGCTAGGTGAGCAAAAGGTGTTGGGTTGTAGGAAGTGGGGCTCACCAGTTTGAGAGTTTTCATACAGGGTGATAGAGTGCTCCCTACTTAGAAGTGATGCTTTCAGGTTCTTTCAGGGTTAGATCCAGGCTGAAGGCTTTCTTGAGTCCTGTAGAGATCTTTAATATTGCTATTGGTCCTCTTTTAATCTTCACTCGGTAGACTGCTCTTAAAATTTTCTCAGTGTTTCAGAGGCTCATTCAGGGCTCAGCATTTAGGGGTGGGATGAGAAAGGATGTGAGGCTTTGCACATCTTATAAATTTATGTTACATATTTGTCTAGACTGATTAGGTTATAATAGCCAGAGATTAAAAATATAGTTCAATTGTGGCCAGGCAGTTTTATTCGTAGATTCTCAGCAGGTTTAATAAGATATAGTGATATCATGTCACTCTCCCATTGGTCATGAAATGTTCTATCATATGTAATTTCACTATCAGCAGAATTTAAAAATTTGGCTCACAAACGGAGCATGTTTATTTTTCTGATCCCGTTTTACACTTGCCTGTTATGAGCTTGTTCTCTTTCTAGTTTTTGTTAGAACAAGAGCCCAGCAAGTTTTAACTGGTTTTTTGGTTCTGAGGTTTAGATAAAAGACCTTCATGATAATTTGAAAAAAAAATTCTTATTTTGAGAAAGATTCTTGCTTTGTAATTCAGTTTGGCCATGAATTGACTGTGTAGTGGACTTGAATTTGCAGCGGTCCTCCTGCCTCAGCCTCCCGAGTGCTGGAGTTACAGATGTAACTCCATGCCACCATGCCTGGCTGATAATTTGGAATTTTAAAAGTCTACTGCTTTTCTTGCTTTTCTAGTGTAATAGAAATTTCTGGGAATGTTTCCTCAAAGGATTGTCACTGAGTAACCATTTCTGTGTTTTTGTTCTGGAAACAGGTTTTATGAGTGAAGCTATGGCTACAGATTCTCCTAGAAGACCCAGTCGATGTACTGGTGGAGTTGTGGTTCGCCCTCAGGCTGTCACGTAAGCATGTTTCAGATAAGCCCAGTAGCTGATGCAATCATTACTTAGAAAAATAAATAACATTCACATTTGCTTTTTGAATAGTACGTAGTTTATAAAAATCTTATTTTGGCTTTACAGGTTGAATATCCTTGTCAAGGCCAAATAAAAGGAACAGTCGGAGAGATTATGGCTTGTGTTTAGATATCCCCCCTTGCAGGACATGGTGGTGCACACCTGTAATCCCAGCCCTCGGGAGGCTGAGGTGGGAAGATTGCTGCAAGTTGGATGCCAGCCTGGGTTACATAGAGAGACCCTGTTTAAAAAAAATATTTCCCCCAAAACCCTCGTGTGGTCTTAGGTCTTAGGTGGGGCTTTTTCAGAGGTGGCTGAATCTAGAGTGTGTGATTGATTCATAGTGCAATGCTAGGTCTGAGGGCCCTAGGATTAAGGGTGTGAATGCACCCTGTCGTAAGTAGTCTGAATAAGATGAAAGGGGCAGAAAGACTGTTAAAGTCGCTTGTTGCTTTTGCTACCTTGTGGGACCATGGACTGTTTCTCCTCTGAGATGTCCCTCTGTCATGTGCTACTCTGCCTTGGAGCCAGCCAACTGTGGACTGAAACTTCTACAAACTGAGCTAAATAAACCTTCCCTCCTTTTTAACTTTGGCTGTTGGGTATTTTTTCTCAGCGACAAGAGAAAAGTAATGAAGACACATTGATGTGTTCATATATTTAAAAGTAACTGGAGAACACTGTCAAAATCTTGAACAGTGTTTCTTTCAAACTCCAGGGTTTAGAAATTAGTGGATCTGCCTCACGTGGTGGCCCATACATATAATTTTAGCACTCTAAGAGGCTGAAGCAGTGGGATCACAAGTTCCAGCCCAGCCTGGGCAGTTTAGCAACTTAGAGACTGTCTCAAAAAAAAAAAAAAAAAAAAAAAAAGAGTTGAAGATGTAGTAGTTAGTGTTTGCAGAGGCCCTGGGTTCAATCTGTAGTCCCCCCAAAGCAATAAAATTAGTAGTATGATGCATTCATTTAGTTGATCAGGATCAGTATTTAAAAAATGAAATGTGGTAGGGTACTTTCCCAATGTGCTCAAGGCCCTGGGTTTGATGTCCAGCACTACCTGCCCTACCTAGGAAATACAGGTAGTTCATTTAGCACTGTTTTATGATCATGATGCACAAAGTTACACTTGTGTATAAGTATGATCACTAGATTGTGATTTTAATTTTTTTAATTTTTTTGGTTTTTGAGACAGGGTCTCACTGTGTAGTTGAGACTGACCTGGAGCTCACTGTGTAGCCCAGGCTGGTCTCGAACTCACAGTGATCCTCCTCCTAAGTGCTGGGATTACAGGCGTGCGTCACCACACCTGGCTGGTAGATTGTGATTTAAATAGTATACCTCACTCTAGGTTTTGGTCAGAGTTTTTTTTTTTTTAATCTGAAAATTATTTAATGCAATGAGAAAACTAGAGTTATTTTTATTATTGAATTATACTGTAATGTCTACATCTACAATTTAATCAGGAAGAAATGGTTTGCATTTACATCAAGGACACATTTACTCTAGTGGAATAAAACAGACACAGATTTTTCTTTTTTCTTTTTGTACTGAAGATTGAACCCACTGAGCTCCATGCCCAGGCTGGGCTGGAATTTATAATCCTCTTGCCTTAGCCTCCTAAAGTGGTGAGATTAAAGGCATGTGCCACTACGTCTGCTCTATGATTTAGGTATTCTTTGACAAAGGTATTTATATTTTCTAGGAGTTTATAATCCAGCATGGCTTAAAGAAACGTATGCTTGAAGTTAGTGTGATTTTTTGCTTGTTTGTTTGTTTGTTTGTTTGTTTTTTTGAGACAAGTTATCATGATTCAGGCTGTCCTTGAATTCACTATGTAGCTTAGGCTGGCCTCAAATTTTTAGTGATCCTCCTGCCTCAGACTCCTGAGTGCTAGCATTACAGGCATGTACCACTATACCTGGCTAGTGTAATCAGTAAGAAAAAAAAAGATGCCAGCAAAACAGTGAGAATTTAGAGGGAGTATTTCAGTAGTGTGATTAGAAGCCATTTAAGATAACACTTTAGAATGCACATATATATACATATATATATATATATATACATACATATTTTTTTTTTGGTTTGTTTGTTTTGTTTTGTTTTGGTACTGGGAATCAAACTTGGGACCTTATGCTTGCAAGACAGGTGGCAGCACCACTGAGCTGGCCCTAGAGTATATATTTAAAGGCTAAGTAGAATTTGGGCTCATAGAATCAAAAGTTCATTTTAGGCAAAGGGAATAGAGTGAGAAAATACAGGAAAGCTAAGCTATTTTTTATTTTTTTGTTTTTTTTAATTTCAATTTAATTTTATTTTTTGGTGCCAGGGATCGAACTTGGAACCTTTTGCTTTTGAGGCGGGCAGTGGCACCACTGAGCTGCATCCCCAGCCCTAAGCTATTTTTTATAAATGAAATTTAGTTCTGATATAGAGAAGTTGAATGATTTAAAGTAGGTTTTGTTAGACCGTTAAAACTCTTTAGTACCTATTTAAGGAGGTGAAACTTGTTTGAAGCTTCTTGAGACAGAGTCTCACTATGTAGTTCTGGTTGGCCTTGAACTCACCATGGAGCCCAGGCTGGCCTCAGATTCATGGCAGTTCTCCTGCTTAGCCTCCCAAGTTCTGGGGTTACAGGTGTGTTCCACATCCCAGGCTTGTTTTAAGCTTTTTAAAATGCTTCTAATGAACTGGGTATGGTGGTGCAAGCCTGTAATCCCAGCTCTCTGGGATGTTGAAACAGGAATAGAAATTCTCAAGTTCAAGGCCAGCCTGGATAACTTAGTGATTTAGCAAGACCTTATCTCAAAAAATAAAAAAGTTGGAGATGTAGCTTAGTATGAAGGCCCTGGGTTCAGTCCCCTATTCCAAAAACAAACAAGTGCTCTTCGTGAGAACTGCATGTTTTGGATTATTTCCTTTGGGAATTCAAGCATGTTACAAAAGTGTATGTATAATGTGATATTTTACTGTGTTCATTTCTGTGCGTTACATTTTTTTTTTTGTTATGGGCCATGGTAACAAATTAAACATGTTATTACCTGGGAACTAGGTGCTGTTTTTGATCTGCATTTTACAGGTGAGGAAACCAAAGCTTAAGTTGTGCTGGGTAACAGTGAAGAAGGGGAGCCAGATCAAGTGAAGGCAGTTTGTCTACTTATTTAGTTTGAGCCTATTTAGTATTCTGTGCTACCTCACCATATCATGTTCAAGTCCGTGCTACCTCACCATATCATGTTCAAGTTCAAGGTGTATTAGTTTTTTGTAATGCAATACATGCTTTTCCTTTTTTTCTGTTTTTGGCTCTGGGGATTGAGCCCAGGCAGTTGCTGAGTTATATAACCAGCTCTTGTTCATTTTATTTTGAGATAGATTCTTGCTAAGTTTCCTAGGCTGGCCTTAAACTTGGTAGTTTGCGATCCTGCCTCAGCCTCCTGAATAGCTGGGACAATAGGTGTATGCCTCTACAGCTGGCTTAGTTTTTTTTTTTTAATCTTTCATTTGGTGTTCTTTTATCAAATAATGCTTGAGCATTTACTACATGGCTGAGTACTGGCTGACAGGTTTTGGAGATAAAAGGTATATATGAGAGTTGGATTTCTTCCTATATGAAAGGTGATAGTCTAGTGGGAGAAAACAGTAAATAAACAAGTAAATGAATAGTTACAGGATGTCATCTGTGTCTAGTGTCCCATGGTGGAGAATGATGGATGACCATGCATAAGGTTGTCAGGAATGTTCTCTCCGGGAAGCAATAACTAGCTAGCTGGCGGTATGACGTCTTTCTCTTTCTCTCTCTCTCTTTTTTTTTTTTTTTTGTTACCAGGGATTGAACTTCGTACCTTGTTCTTGTGAGGCAGGCGGTGGAAACACTGAGCTAAATCCCCAGCCCATGACTTTTTTTTCTTTTTTTTTTTGAGACAGGGTCTCTTATGTAGTTCAGGCTGGCTTTGAACTCACTATGAAGCCTTACTGTGATCCTCTTGCCTCAGCCTCTTACAGGCATATGCCACCACACTTGACTAAGATGTTACTTAGAAGGAAGGTGTATGGGAAGGTATTGAGCGGAAAGAATGGTGTAAAGGTCTTGATTCAAAGAAAAGCTTGGGGTATTCTAGGAATTGAGGTTGTAGCAGAGTCAGAAGAATGGCAAAAAAAAAAAAAAAAGTCAGAGAGGTTCTAATCTCTCTCTTAATCTCTTCTTTCTTTTTTTGTTACTGGTTATTGAACCCAGGGATTCATACTTGCTAAGCATCTATTCTGCTGAAGTTATCCTTAGTCCCTAGAGTACTCATTTTTGTTGTTGTCTAACCAAATGTTATCAGTCTCAAAGGCATACTGGTAAGACATATTGTTTGTTCTAAGATTTAGTTTTTTTTCTCTCTCCTTTTTTTTTTTTTTTTTTTTTTTTGGTACCAGGGATCAAACTTGGCTCCTTGCATTTGCGAGGCAGGTGGTGGAACCACTGAGCTAAATCCCAGGCCCTCTCCCCACTTTTTTTGAGACAGGGTCTTGAACTCACTATGTAGCTCAGGCTGGCCTTGAACTCAGGACAATCCTCCTACCTCAACCTCCTGAGTGCTGGAATTACAGGCATTGTATTTTTAAAGTGTAATTTTTTCACATCTTCCATGAAATAATTTTGATTTAGTGTGTTACATTTATTTTTCACTCACTGAGCTATATCCTTAGCCACTTTTATTTTTTATTTTGAGATAGCCTTCCTAAATTGCCCAATTTGCGCTTGAATTTGTGATCCTTCTGCCTCAGTCTTGCAGAATGCTGAGATTAAAGGCATGTGCCATCATGCCCAGATGATTTAGTGTTCTGAAGAAACTGTTTTTCTCCACTTGATGACATCCATATACTTCCCATGTAAATTTATTTCCCTCAGATCCATGGGTATAGTACATCCTCTGTCTGTCTGTCTGTCTGATCTATGTCTGTGTAGTGCACTACTGGAGATTGAACCCATGGACCATTTACCATTGAGCTGCTGTATCCCTACCATTTTTTTTTTTTTTAGATAGGGTCCATGCTACCCAGGCTGGCTTGGAAGTTGTAGTTTCCTGCATCAGTTTCTAAAGTAGTTGGTATTACAGGTGTGTGCCACTACATTTTAAATACATCCAGAGGTGGGCATGTTGTCACATGACTGATCCCAGGACTTGGGAGGCTGAGGCAGGAGGATGGCAAGTTTGAAGCCCTCTAGGGCTACATAGTGAGTTTAAGGCCAACCTGGACTACATAGGAAGACTGTCTGAAAAAATCTGTACCTATATTTATGTGTCTCAGTGGTATAGCTCTTGCCTAGTATATGTGAGACCCTGAGTTCAATTTTCAGTACTGAAAAACCAAAACTCCAGCCAAAAAACTTCACTTAGTATCCTTGACAATGTTAACTTTCCTCACTTTTATGAATTTTAATATTTTACTGTGCCTTGTGTGGGCCAAAAGTTCTGTAAGGACTTAACATTTTTGTTGTAGTGCTTGCTCCTGAAATCAAGACTGAATTTGTGATCCACAGGTCAAGGACTCAGTTGAGGACCAGTTTAAAGAGAAAGTTAGTAAATACTGGGTCATTAGTGTCACAGTGTTCTTGCTCCCAAGGTGTTCTACTGGTCTGACTCAGGAGGAAGGTGTTGCCTTAGCTAGCTCTATGGTATTCATACCTTCACATATGCGGTGGATGTTACCTCCAGCAAATTAGGAAAGCATGGCTTTTTAAAAGAGATAATATTTTAAAATTATAAAAGCTCAGAAAGTGGGCAGGAAGAATTATCAGGTGATAAGACTTGCCCCCCCTTTTCTTGTTTTCATATGAATGACCTTGTTAGGGCTCATCAGTAGAGCTTTCCCATGTCATAAGCTGTGATGACAAATTTTATCCATTTTACCCTTTTCCAGAGAGCAGTCCTACATGGAAAGTGTTGTGACTTTTCTGCAGGATGTTGTGCCACAGGTAAGTGACTATGTGTAATTGCAAAAATAGAGGTTTTAACTTTGGCCAGGGAAACTCTGAAGTGTTCTGTTTCACAGTAGTGTGAGCAACTTCAGAAAGTCTTTCGATGTTTTAGCATCCTGAGTGTGGGTAGGGTGGAACTGCATTTGTTACTGTGTAGATGGGCCACAGTTTTGCAATGACAGTGGCGTGAGTACAACTGCTTAGGACTTGCTCTCCTAATAGGAATGAAGGTGAGTTGCTAGATGAGAGTTGGGATGTGGGACTCTAGCTCTCTAGCTAGGTTCTGTCTAAATTGAGAGACATCTAGGTGTGAGGTATAGCTTTTTCTTAAATTTAACATAAGCTATCACTTACCGTATTTTTGAAAATGATAATTCATAACTTCTCTCCCAGAGAGTCTGATACAGTGATATTCAATGTGATATCTAGTAACTTGTACAAATGTCAAGTGATTATTATTTTCTCCTTGTGATGTCAGTCTTCTGACTGCCATGGTGTTTTTTTGTTTGTTTGTTTTTAGAGTTGCGGTCTCACTATATAGTTCAGGCTGACCTTAACTTACTGTGTAGCCCAGGCTGGCCTTGAACTCATGGTGATCTTCCTGTCTCAGCCTTCTGAGTGCTAGAATTATTACAGGTGTGTACCACTATGCGTGGCTTGCCATCTGTTTTTAACTGTATTGTTCTAAAAGGGCACTCGTAAGTCCAGTACTGCAGTTTTTTTCCTTCAGCATTAGGATTTGAACCCAGGGCCTTCACAGTGAGCCATATCCCCAGTCTTTTAAAATTTTTTCTTATTAAGTTGCCCAGGGTAGGCTCAGACTTGCATTCCTCTTGCTTCAGCCTCCCAGAGTCCTGGAATTACAGGAATGCTCTACTATGCCAGGTCAACTTTAGTTTTGTGAGAGGATCCTAGAAAATAAAGTTTGAATTTTAGTTGTATTAAACAAAATGTATTCATGCGGTAAGGGAAACGACTAAGAAATGTTGCATTATTAATTATAATTAATTGGTAAGAGGATGCAGAGAAAGAAAGGAAGTTCCAGGCAATGTCTGACGTAGCATTAATTGAAATGATAAAAGTTGGGTATTTGATTTTGAAGGAAACTAGCCAGCTGGATGTAATAGGCAACAGGATTCTGTGGCACAGAGTGCTAGGCTGAGAGAGACATGGGGCTGAAACGTTTTGTTCTTCCGTTAAGCAGGGGCCCTGCCCTGAGGCTACAGTTCCAAGGAAGTCTTATTTTACATTTTTAAAATTTGCCCCAGGAGAGCCTCTTTATCAAATTTCCACAAAGATACTTTTTGTGCAACTAGCAACCATGGGTAGCAAGCGGTTTTTATTGTCTGAAGGAGAAAGACTGTGGTCAGAAGATTGGAGCAAACAGTTGGAAGGTTTGGTAGTAGGGTAGAATATCAGATTGAATAATTCCTGTTACACGGAAAATAGAGGGGCTGCTACAACTGATAGGGTAAAAATATTGCAAATTAAAGATTAATTTTTATGGAGATAATACATTAGAGGGGAGGTAATAGGTTAATATGTGTATTGGCCGTGAAGATTGGATTAGAATAGAAACTGCAAGTAAAACTGCAGGCATGGATCTAAGAATTAGAATATTTATTGAACAAATCTATATTGTTTGTCCCTTCTATGAAAGTCAGTATTTTAGTTACGGAAGAAAGGTAAAGTTCAGGCGACTTTGTGGGCCTGGCAGACTCACTGTGGGCCTGGCCCTGAGCTAGGTTGAGGAGCTACCTGGTGCCCTGCCTTGCCCTTGCCTTGCTTTTCTTTTCTCCCCTCTCCACCTTCCTCTTCCTTTCCTTGTCCTTCCCTTCCCCTCTCCCCTCCTTTTTGTGGTACTGGGAACTGAATCCAGAGCCTTTGCATTGACTTACATCCCCAGCTTTTTTTTTTTTTTTTTTTTTTTTTTTTTTTTTTGGAGGCAGAGTCTTGTTAAGTGCCCAGTCTGTGTTCAGACTCTTTTTCCTCCTGCCTCAGGTTCCCTCAGTGTTACTCAGGAGGCTGAAGCAGGCAGATCTTGAGCTGAAAGCCCAGGCAGGTCAAGGCCTGGGCAACTTAAAAAACAAAAAAGGGCTGAGGATATAGGTTTGATCCCCCCCACACCCAGCCTTGATAAATTGAATGGAAATATGATAGGGACAAAAGGGTCATAGTAAGTGCCTGCCTGCCTCCTTCTTTCCTTCTTTCCTTCCTTTCTTTGTAGCAGATCTTGCTACATAGTCCAGGTTGGCCTTGAACTCAGAATCCTTGTGTCTTATCCTCCCAGGTGTTAGATTACAGTTGTATGCCTGCATACTTGGTTGTGTTTGATACATCTGACAGAGAAATTACCCCTTAACATTTTGAAGGTTCAGGTTAGTTTATGGTTTAAGACTTCAAATGTTATATTAGGTTTGAATTTACGTTGCATCTCTGTCTTTTACTAGCACTGGTTAAACTACTGAATCTTTCTCTAAACATCATGGTCTTTATTTGTAAAGTGGGGTTAATCATTGTATTCATCAAGAGTTTGTGTTGAGGCTTGAAAGGTGCCATACATGTAATGCACAAAATAGAGCAGGCCAGGCAGGGTGGTGCATGACTGTAATCCCAGCACTTGAGAAGCTAAGGCAGGAGGATTCAAGTTCAAGGCTATTTGGAGCTGTAGAGACTACTATTATATGGACTACAGGGTGAGAGCCTGTCTCAAAAAGCAGAGCAAACAAAAATCAAACAAACCCAAAATGCAAAAATAAAAAAACCCCAAATATTAAGTAATCTCACTTGCATGAAGCAGAAGAGACTAAATATCCAGGTTCAAAGCTATAGATCTCTGGCTTTTGTTGTTGAAATAATCAGATGATGTGAAATTGTATAAGTGCTAGTGAATAGTGAGTCATAGTGACTTTCAGAACTCCTCACTATTTCTCATAGAAACACAATAATAGGAGTAACTTTCAAAATATTAGACTTTTTCTTTTTGGTTAGAGTTAACCATTTTTTCCATGTCGGCATTGGTACTTTGTAGTCAGCCATATGGGAATGGTATTTCCTGTCCTCGTTAGGTCCAAATCCTGCTCTGTTCTCAGGATCATCAAATTCATGGAGCCTAGAAATTATTCTCTAGATCTGCAAATACCCCTCTAAAAAGAGAAAGTGTTTCATTGGACTAGGTAGCAGTTTCTGTAGTTAGTACCTATGGGGTTTTGCTTTAGTTTGACTGATAGAATTGATAGCTAGCGGGAGCCCTTAGCTGTGCCCTTTGGTTTAATAAGTCCACTTAAAATTCATTTTAAAAAGGTAATTCAAAAAATAAAAATGAGAATGCTTAGAACTTTTCAGTGAAAAGTGAAGTTTTCACTTATTCAGTGTAAAACTTGGTGCTAGCCCAAATGTCAATAGTAGTCAAACATGGTGACTATGGAGTATTTTCTCTAATTAGAAATAATACTTTTGCCAGGCAGATGGTGTATACCTGTTGTTCCAGGACTTGGGAGACTGAGGCAGGAGGGTTGTGAGTTCATGGCTGGTGTGGGAGTACGCAGTGAGACCCTGTCTCAGAAATTAAAAAACAAAACAAAACGCTTTTAACAGTAGCATACTACAAAAGTTATTTTTTTCTCAAGCAAAAAATTAAAAAAGGCAATATATAGAATATGTACAATGATTGTAACTATGTTTTGTAAATTTAAAAAATAATTTTTGTGCTTATGTATGTGTGTTAAGACACTGGAGTAAGTAAAAATGAGAACTGAATCTTGTCAGTAAAGTTTTGACATGAAGTATTATTATTAATTATCATCATTATTACTTAGTGGTGCTGATGATTCAACCCAAGGTCTCATACATGATACGGAAGCAATGTGCTACTGAGCTATAACCCCAGCCATTTTCATTGGCAGGAAAAAATGTTTTTTCTTTTTCTCAGCAGTGGAGATTGAACCCATGGCCTTTGCACTGAGTTCTGTCTCTAGCCCTTTTTTATTTTTTATTTATATTTTTTTGAGACAGGGAATCACTATGCGGTTCTGACCTTGACCTCACTATGTAGCCCAGGTTGGCCTTGAACTCATGGCAGTCCTTCTGTCTAAGCCCGACATGCACCACTATGCCCAGATCTGTTTTTCTTTTCTCCCTTTCTTCCTTCCTCCCTACCTCTCTTTCCTTCCTTCCTTCCTCCCCACTTTTTCTTCCCTCCCACCTACCTACCTTTCTTTCTTTCTTTCGTTCTTTCTTTCTATTTTAGGACAGGGTCTCCCTAAGTCATTAAGTTGTCCAGGCTGGACTCAAACTTGTGATCCTCCTGCCTCAGCCTCCCAGAGTGCTGATTGTAAGCCACTACTCCTAGCAGCCCTTTTTTCTTTTGATACAAGATATCACAGAGTTTGGCTTGGCTTGAATTAGCTAGCTTCCTGCCTTAGCCTCCCAAAATACTGGGATTATAAACATGTACCACCTTGCCTAGCTTGCATGAAAGTTTTTCTCTAAATAAGAGGGCTCGAGGGCTGAAGATATAGATGTAGTGGTAGTATGCATGCATTGCATGCTTGAGGCCCTGGGTTCTATCCCCAGCCTCACAAAATGAGAGAGAAAGATAAAGAAAGATAGGCCAGAGCAGTTGGGTGGCCTATATAAATAAAAGCAGGGGAAGAAAAATAATTTCGTGTGGCGATATAGTGTCCTCCATAAAGACAGCAAGTGAGACCCAGGAGTATAGCTCAGAGCCAGGAAGGGGAGGATGAGGTGAGGATGAAGATAAAGTGTCAGTTGGCTCCAGTGTGTGCAGGTTTTCCTCTTCTGCAAAGAGGTTAACTGCTGTATGCACATTCACTTGCTTTTATCTTTTGGTGCTGAGGATTACACCCATGCCCTGCAGCTGAGCTATGTCTTCGGTCTCTAGTTTAAAAAATACAATTGAAATCCTATGGATGTATATAATATTTTGGATAGTAAACTCGATATTAAGGTAAGCCTGTCTTAGTGATATTTTTGATCTTCAGTAATCTAGTAGTAATCAGTGTGGTTACTTAAATAGACCCCAAAATTTATAGGTGGTTGCACTATAAATTATATGAGATTTCTGGGTGTGGTAGCACATGCCTATAATCCCAGCATTCAGGAGGCTGAGGCAGGAGGATCACTATGAATTCGTGGCAAGCCTGGGCTACGTAGTTTGAGGCCAGCCTGAGCTACATAGTGAGACTTTTTCTCAAACCACACCTCCCCAAAATTATATCTGTTGGTAGTTTCAAAAAATTTATTTTATTTTTTGCAGTGTTGGTTGTTGATTCCAAGGCTTTTGTAATGAACTATCTCCCCAGCCTTTATTTTTAAATTTTGAGGCAGGGTCTCACTGAGTTTTCCAGTCTGGGCTGGACTTGTGATGTTCCTGCTTCAGTCTCCTAGCTCCTGGGGTTATAGGCCTAGCCACCATGCCAACTTTTTTTGCATACAATGTATATATTAAACACTATGCATCAAATTGAATACCACTTTATAGTTGCAAAAGAAGTTGCAACTGTTTTGTTGGTATTTGAATTGCTTTTAAATATGT